TCCCTGCAGTGCCTCCTGCTCCAGCTGCCCACGTGGAGGCGTGGAAATGCTGCCCTGTGTGTTCAGGCAGATTTACTTGCTTGGAGGAGGCACATTTGGTCCACGCTGGGGCCCCTCAGCCCTGGGGCCTGAACAGCAAAGGGGAGGAGGCTCAGGTGGCCCTCCCTTCCAACCAGGGCCAGAGAGTTCCCCGGCAGGCCCCTGTCCAGGGGGAGTCGGGTCGAACCCTGCAGGGAGGAGGTACGGCTGACCCACTTCCTCTGCGTCTCTCCAGCCTCCCATCCCCTCCTAGTCCTAGTCCCTGCAGCCTCATCCCACGCTGCGACCAAAGTCCACCGGCCAGCGTGGCACTGCTGGGCATCTCCTGGGCCAACCCCAGTCACAACCTCCGGCATGATTGTCACACTAGAGGGACATGATGCAGCCCTACTCTGTCATCCATCGTGAGACTCTAAGTCTGTGAGTTCTTCTCAGATGAGGAAATGAAGACCCATTTAAAGTCACGTCCAAATGGTGCCAACTGTCCTCCTTTCCGGGCAGGATTTGAGTGGGCTTAGAAGGCAGGGGCCTGGACCTCAGCCACCAGTGGGAGCTCCGTGGCCCTCACCCACCCCCACAGCCCCGCTGGACCTGAATTGCTCCTGGAATATCCGGGGAAGACAGGGGACAGCAGCCTGTGACTTAGGAAGAAAGGGGGCGGGTCCCTTTCCAGCCGGGTCCTCAGTGGAACTTCCATAGCCCTTGGCCGCGAGGGAGGGTGGCGATGACTTCATGTTTGGATTAGAGACTCTCTGGGGATGGGACAAAGCCTGTCTGTATTTCAGGCCTGGTGACCTCGGTCTGAGTGGGTGGCTCCCTCCCAGCCCGTGAGAGAAGAGATCCAAGCTCAGCGTGACCCGGGGCTGAGTCCAGAACGTGTGGACACTGAGGGCGTGGGAGCAGCCTTCTCGCTGCCTGACACCTGCTGGTGCCACCCACTGTCCCAGACCCAGGACACCAGCCAGGGGGATCGTGATCCGTCGCTCCTCGCCTGGTTGGAGCATCCGTATCACCCGAGCTCTGACATCCACCCTTGGGCTCCACCTGAGACTAATTAA